AACGGACGATGCTGGATTTTGGTGCAGCAGAGTGACTAAAATCGTCATTTCGGTTGTTAAAAAGATGACTGCTTTAACATTATAGAGCGGATTCTTTAAGTTAAAGGATTAATCTATCATTTCAGCTAAGTTTTAAGTTATATAAATGATTAGGTGAAGACTTTTAACATTGAAATTCAGGCTTTTTACAGTATTTTCAGTATGGAAAACGACCTTTGTCCAAATTTGACATCCAATTTCTTGAAAAATAATCACAAATCTTAAGGGGGAGTCTGGTTAAAAGCATTTTTTTCGCCTATTTCTGCCCCTTTTCTTAAATGTCTAGCCAAGATTTCATTCAATCGAAAAATGACTCGATTAGTTTGCAGTCCTTGGTTCAATAATTTTCCGAGAAATATGATTTTTGGATGATTTTTCGAATGTTTTTAATGCAGAAAAATTTGGGAGGGGGGGGTGGGGGTATTGAGAAACTTGGAAAATAGAGTACTAAAGTGTGACGTCATAAAAATGAAATTTCTGAAATTATGGGATTTGTCAGGATAGTCTGAAAGAACAATGTCCAAGAGGCCTACTTGCCAAAAATGAGCATTTGGGGGCAAATTGTCTCTTAGATCGTAGCCCAGTTATACACCGTAATTTTTAGGGAGTTATTATAACTCCAAAAATGGAGTAAAAATTTTAGGTACAGGATAACCCCTTTTTTGGGGTTATTTTAACTCCTAATTTAACTCCGAATCTGGGGTCATTTTTACTCCTGAAAAAGAGTTCTTTTTACTCCCAGTCTGGAGTTAAAATTACTCCGAAATGGGGTTATTTGTACTCCTTACATGGGTTGTTTTTACTCTTTTTGGAGTTAATTTAACTCTGAAAGTGGAGTAAAAATTTTGGGTACAGGATAACTCCTTTTTTGGGGTTATTTTAACTCCTCAATATCTGGGGTCACTTTTACTCCTGAAAAAGAGTTCTTTAAACTCCTTTTTGGAGTTAAAGTAACTCCACGAAAAATAACTCCACTGTAAGGAGTTAAATTAACCCCACTAGGGGAGTTATTATAACTCCCTGAAAATTACAGTGTACTTACAAAACTCCATACAAACCCTTCTAAATTTTTTTGGGGTCGACCCAAAAAAAAATTAGAGGGGTTTGTATGGAGTTTTCTGAGTATAACTGGGTTACGATCTCAGAGACAATTTGCCGCGAATTTGATAATTCGCAGGAAAGGGAGTTGTCCATTTTTTGACATTGATTAATTTATGATTTTTTTTTTTCATACTTGTTCACGATCACCGCCTCTAATGGTACAAAATGAGCGATGATCGCCGGCTCGAGTTGTTTCCGCGGGGGTCCCGAGTTCAAATCCTGGACAACGCTTGTAAACTGACCCAAATGAATTGCATCCTGCCGACCAGTTGGGATTGTTAACCCTGATGTAAGCTGATGAATATGTTTTATTTGATTTTTTTGTTACAGTCACTTGCTCCGTCCCACTAGCCTTTACGTAAAAGATACCACCGAGGGCATATTAAAGTCTAAGCAATGCGCGCTTGAAAGGCAACGCTTCGGTGGTTTAGCCATAAGACTTGCTAGACCTATTAACATTTCCCTTAACATAAACAGCAGGATGTACATAACATTGATTAAAAAAATCTCCGCACTGCCTCTCTATGAATAAATAACTAAATAACTTACAGCTGTTAAGAAACTGCTTTTTGTAGTGCGCCTTTATCATCATTTTTAATTATTAACCATCTGCATGGAAAATTCAAGTTTATTTTGTAAGACATCAACCGACTTACAGGTTTAAAACTTTGATGCCCATGTCTACGTACATCTCCGGAAAGAAAAACAAAACCCGAAAACAATCAGTCAAGTTTCTTGATTTCCAGATTTTGGGTTATTGATGTTGTTGGCCTTTTCATTTTTTGTTTTATTCATTTTTCTTTTTTGCTTGTTACCGCGGAAACGAATAAAATATTTATTACTAAAACTCAAATTGTAAAGTAAACTAATAAGTGTTGGTACAAACATAATTTTCTTAAGACATTATTTAATTTTCGGAAGGTTTTTGCAAAGTGGTACACAGAGAACAAGGAAAGCATGATTCTTCTATCCTGTTGAAAAAAAAGGCTTCTTCAGTTACTGAGAGACTAAATTAGGTGTAAACACTTTGAAAGCAGTCAGCCATTGGAGCTTCTCTACGAAAAAAATAGAGCCGTTCATGTAGCTCTGACAACCAATCAGAGTGTCCTTGTTTATTTAACTAAGCCAGCCGTTATCCATAGTAATGATTTCAGGCGTAATTTCATTCTCATGTAAGCGTGTAGGATAGATTGAATTGTTGTAGATGAGAATGAACTGGTTACTACTTGGTTAGACAAATGCAAGTTAGGTAAGAAGCTCATTTCAGCTCGATTGTTTCTGTTTTCGTTAACATACTAGTTGTATATTATGGCTTTTTGTAAAGTAAATACTGTAAAAGACTATTTTGTTTTTAAATTCGTCACCGTTCCTTGTTTCGTTCTATTTGTAGCGATTGTTGTCACCATGTTTCTATCTATTTATATTCCATTCATACTGATATTCTTGAGGACTTCTCTACTCTTATCTGCACCAGATTCCTGTGGTAACTTGTTTGAAAGTTTTTCAGGTACGTGTTTGATCATCATGTCTTGATCATGACTTGCAAACTTGCGACGTGCAGTGCACTTAAGACTCTTTCAGAATCCTAGGCTCGCCTGTGTCAACTGTTTCAAAGGCATGGAATTTTTTTTCTACATCTTGGAGATTGAAACATTTTAAGCAATGCCAATCAATTTTAGCTTTTTCGTGAGAGTTTGGCTCGAGTGCGCATCGTAGGCTCAACGAAGTGTAATTTTTTTTCAGCCCCATAAATCTATTTTTTGTTTGTTACTGTTCTCAACTATTTTCGATTTTTTTCTGTGTAAGCACTGAACCCTGTTTTGAAATAGAGTGGAAGATTTGTCTATCAATAAACGGCTAAAGGGATTTAAAATAATCATGAACGATGTCATTTTCCATTTTTTTTTTCTTTCTTTTGATATATAGCATTGAAGCAGCTTACTCAGTAGAGTTTTTAAAGCTGTAATTTACATGACAGTCTTTCATGCACCTGAATTTACGGGTGGTCGCATTACCGTGTTTCAAAAGAAATTTTCAAAGTGCTGTGATAGCAACGCGCATGCGCAAAACACAAACCGTGCAAGTGTGTGAGAGACACAATTTATCGTTTAGTAACGTTAATAAATAGAAAATCTTTCTTATGGCTTTAAGGGGACAGTTTGGGTGTATTTTGGGGAAATTTTATTGTTTTGGGAAAGAAATGAATTAGGGTAGAAAAGGTGGTATAAGCATAAACGTAAGGTTAGTCCGCTAATGGTATCAGGGTGGACTATATATCTGGTATTTGTCTACTAATTTTTTACTTCATATTTAATTTTCAACAACCCTCAAATGCAATACTTCATATTTTACAAATTTCTCTATTCCCCCCCCCCCCCCCCCCC